TTTAAAGCTGATTTGTTGGTCGAAATACCCTAATTCCGAATCAAATCTTTTTATTTCTATTTATATCTTTATTATTTCATTTCTTATTTTATTATAATAAAATTTTTCAATATTGCCGGCAATTCTTTTGAAAGTTTTTTTATTGAGATTTTTATTTTTTTGGTTTTTTTTTTTATACCTATACCAGACTAGGACAAATACATTTTATAGACTGTTAATTCTCGACGACCTTTTCTTCTTCGTTTGGCAATTACTATTATTGAATAATTTTTTTTCATACGGGCTAAGAAGCTGTAATAAACGTCATTTAATACTTAATATTAACATTAAATTTAATTTGTATTATTATTTAATGTCTGCCGATATCGAATGTTGCGAATGTATTTATATACGTATAATAATAATATATTCAAAAAAAAAAAAATGCAAAGATATTGTTGCCAATTGACATAAATATATATATAGAATTTTATTTGGCTTTTGACTTGTCTTTAATATTAAATTTTTTGTGTCAATTCGACAAAATTAACAGACAATAAAATAATAGATGATAGTAGACCATTTCAATTGCATTTATAGCAATTGGCACAAAGAACTTCGATTAATTTGAAGGAGGCGAATTAATTTTTGCCACTTATATACTTATATTATTAGCTTATTTAAGCTTATGCTTTGGTTATTATTATCAGCTGCCTTTAAGCTTATAAGCTAACATAAGCTTCCAAAGATTTTTTTTAATGGACAAACGTTTAATTTATATAAAAAAGCTAGTTTATCCATTTATAAAATATAGGCCTTTCCCTTTAACAAGATAATAATCTATATTATTATTATAGTTTCTAGTACTATGACTTAAGGAAAATGTCAGCTACTACTATTTATTATCATCACTATATTCAAGGACCAAGGAAAGATAGAAAAAAAATTTTAATTGGATTGGATTATTCGAATTATTATTATTATTTTTATTATTATTGTTCATTTTATTCGAATTAAAAATTTATTCGAATAGAAGCCCTACTACACCAAGTATATAAAAAAAAAATTCATTCTAATAATAATACAATAAAATTTATGCTAAAATTATAAATATTCGTTAAATGTAAATGTAATATATCAGATATAAGGATGCTGGCGAAACCAGCAAATTGGTTTCGTCTTATAGGCTAAACGTTTAGTCTATATGAAAAAACCAATTTACTAGTTTTTTCATTATTATTATTACTATTATTGTTCAATGTCTATTTCGATTTCTTTCCATGATAATTTGCTGTTTCTATTTCTGGTGGTGTCGCCGTCATCTTCTTGCAGAAGGTCCAATATCACTATAGTATTATCTAATGCTAACACATTCCACAATAATTTACTTAAATAGCTATTCAAATCAAACCAAAAGGCGATTTCTATATAAAGTAGAATACGTGTAAAATATACTAGAGTAAAGAAAAGACCGAAGAAAATCCAAACGTAATTGTTCCGTTTATGTTGTTCATGGTTATCATCTTGATCATTGTATTTATATCTTTGCAAAAAATTTTTCCATTTATTTTTTCCTTTCATTTTAAGGGCATACTTAATTGCTGATTAGTGTTACTATTGAAAGAACGATGATCCATGATAACATCTCAGTAGTGATTTTATCATAATTTTTGCCTAGAAAAGTCAAAACTATGCATGTTTTGATAGGTGCAGATATGTAAGCCATTAAATACAAATCTATCCGTATATTGTTATTACTAAATGAAAATATACATTTAATGAATCGATTGCTTGCTCATTTATTTATACAATCAAACCTTGCCACAGCGGATCTTATTACAGTGAATTCTAATCAAACTTGCGTTATACATATATGGCGAGATTAGTAATTATAATAATATTTTTCTAATGTGTCCCGTGTATCCGTTGTGACAAGGTTTGACTGTATTAATATTAATAATATAAATAAAATTGAAAATCAAAATTAAATTTATACCTATTGTTATTATCTTTTTTTGATTTTTTTTCGAGATTAGTAGCTTCGATTTCCTTATTTTCTTCTAATTGATTAATTTCAATTTCCAACTCATTTTCTTTAATTTCCTTATTTTCTTCCAAAGACCACATTTCTACATTATCTGCTTTTATTCTGAGTATAGTTCTAATTTCTTTAATCAACACAGTCACTGCGAGCACAAAGTTCATAACACTAGCATATAAATACTATTGTCCAAGTAGTGTTCTTCTCAACCTTGCTTTCAAGGATCAAAAAAGAGTAAATTACTATGAATGTAATATATAAGTATACAAATAATCTTACAAGAAACCTCGCAATTAATGCAAAGTATCTAGCTTTTAATTCTTTGCAGAAAGAAAGATAAATAAATAACGGCAAAAATAATGTTAACAAGGTATCAAGTAAGTTGTC